TAATGTCATTTAAAAATAAATATCCTTTATTATATGTTTGTGATATTAAAAAAATAATTCTTGTTGTACAAGAATTATCATCAAGTTTGGTCAATTAAATGCATTCCAAAAGCATGAAAGAAACATAAATTTTTTTGTGATTGACAACGACGCAATAATTTTAATTAAGACAATGTTAATGAAACTTACTATTAAATTAACTCGTATTATATTATTTTGCTCGTAATTTGAAAACGTGGATGTCGAAAATTTATTCCTTTCAAAGCTTATTTTCACTAACAATGCTTGCCAAGCACAACATTGCGCGCTTTTTACTCTTGAGGATGGAAATTTGGAGTTAAGCTTCTTATGTTCTGTTTTGGAAGCATATAATTCTATTGTTCGTGCTTTTTGCCCACTAGTTAAATATTACCTTTTTTGCATGTTTTTTCCGCCCGTCGGAGGATTTTCCTCATTATTTGTAAGTTTAACAAAGGCTTGTTAGCAGCAAAAAAACTCAAATATTTGTTAGTCCCTGTCTAGACTGCCGTAATTGCAAAAAAGGATGTTGAAGTCAATATTTGAGGAGGAATAGGGAAATTGAGGGAAATTATAATAACAACGTTTTTAAGTTTTTAAGATGACACAAGTTCATTTTGCAGTTGAGGCCAGTTGCTTTTTTATTTCTTAAATCAAATTAATTTTTTAACAACCGTGAAAAAAGAAATTTTAAGTTTGCCTTTGTGATAGATCAATAAACACAATTTGCAACTAAAAAGAAAAAAAAATGTTTTCTGGCAGGGGTATTTCCCGTTAATATTATGTTGTATGAAAAAATAAACAACAAATAATATTAAAATTGTATTTCAGAACAGAATTGTATACAGCTTTCTATCCCCACAATCAGGTCCACAGACTTTTAACTGAGTTAAAGAATTCCATAATAATTATCTTAATTTTCCATTCGCAAGTTCTAAAAGTTTGTTTTTTAAAGTGAGTAATTGATAATTATAATTATTTCCAGTTAGTTTCTGTCGCACAGACAGATTTCGATTTTTGAGAGCCCTCGGGCGTTCGGGAACGCGTGGTGGTTGTCGGCGGGTGAACGACGGAGCGAAATACACACGTATGTATTATTGCAAATGGTGTTTGCATGTCGGTCGGGTGGCGGATGGGCCGAGGGGCTGCATCTGTTGGCACTCTCATTTGCATCTGGAGCACCGGCAAACCGAATTCGGCGCCTCGCAAGATGGTGTGAAAAGTTAGTAGCGAGTTTGTGCGCGTGGCGCCTGCAGGCGTGCCAAACATAATGGGGCTCTCCTTCCTACTCCATCTCGCTCTCTGCGAAACTCATTCGGCGACGTGTGTGTGTGGGTACGAAATGTTTGCCGACGAAAAAGGCCTGCGGTGCCGCCGCCGCATGTTTATTAATTTACTGCCTTATTCCTTTTCGCGAGAGAGAGCGGGATTTTTCGCGCACCACCCTCGCCGCCCCACATTCATAAAAATTTATATACTTACTTTTTGTGTTTGGGGGGCTTTTCCAGGTTTGCTCAAACGGTTAACTTGTTGTGCGTGCATGTTTGAACAAGACATTATTCAGCCACATCAAAGAAAAGGACCCGACGTTACTTTTTTCCCTTTCGCTGTGTATTGAGTGTGTTTTGTGTGTGCGTGGTTTCGGGTCCATTTAACCCGACAGAAGTTTTGGAAATTTAATCTTACTAGTATTATGTGTTTGAAACTACCTTAATAGGAAATATAGGAAAATGAGAATTAAGAAAGTAAAAAACTGCAATTTTCTTAAGATAGAGAACGTCTGGATTAAAATTTTCCAAAGTTTTGAGCACCATTTGCAAAATTATAATTTTTTTCCACACTTGTAGCATTAAACTGATTTTCAAAGAAGACAAAACTTTTTAATACAAAGCTTTTTTTCGTGGAAAATCAATGTGTTAGAATATCCTAATTAAATTTTTGCAATAATTTTGGATCAAAATAAATATTTAGAAACAATTCAGGGATAGAATTGATAGAATGAACTACTATAAGAAGACTAAATAGTCCAAAAATCCTAAAAACGATTGTCTTTAAACTGGCCAGTAATCTGAAATTGCGCTAAAAAGAAGTGAATTTATAAAATCTTAAAAAATCTCTTAAGGAAGAGAGAGAAAAAATAATTTGTAACCTCACAAATTTTATATCAGCACGTCACTGTTCGCAATATTCCATTAATTCTGGAGCAAATTGGAAAAAGCAGACAAAAACTTTTTCACCAGTCTAAATGTTAAAATTTTCATATCACCCTGTTTGTCGTTAATCCACTGTTTGTGTTGCTGTCGTCATCTTGTAATTTTTGGCTTATAACTCTGCCTCTGTGTTGGTTCAGAGGAAACTCAAACAGATATGTTGTGTACCTGCCGTCGGCAATTGTGCACATCTTGTACCGCCCCAGGCAATATGAGTCTGGGATCGGCATCTCGGTGGCTCCTTGTTTAGCAGCAGATCATTAAGCAAGCCAAATATGTGCTCAGGATCCGATTGTAACCATGAGCCGTCTCTTCCTGCGCACCACGGAACAATACATTGTTATTGTTGATGTGCGCGGAATTGTAATGGGACAGACCTTCCTTGTCTTCCATATTCCCTTGTTAAACTTCAAACATATGAAAAAAAAAAATGCTTCAAGCTGATGTAGAGGGAGAACCAGATAAATTATAACTTCATACGTATTATGTAGCTATCTGAAAAAAAGATCCTAGAGGAGAAATTTAATTTAAAAGTGAGTTACCAACGTTATATCTAAAATTTTCAATATTCCTAGAGAAGGGGAAACGCAAAAGGGCTTAAAAAATTGGATATTTTTTTATTTATCCTTACCTGTGAAAATAGTTTCATCTACACCTGATCAGAACATTGTTAGGGTTCTTTTTTAATCAGACTTAAACGATTAATTCAACCAGAAGCCCGTTTTCACTTCAATTAACCTTTTTTTCAATTGAAAGATATTAAAGTGCTTCGTGCAATGATTTGGTTGTTTTCTCAATTTTTAATTAATTTAATACAAGGTTTCACCCTAAATAAGAGCAATGCAAAAAACTAAGCTTGCTACAAGTAAAGTTAAGTGCCTAGGCGGCTCCTTCATTTAATTTTTAAGCTATTTTTCAAGATTTAATTTTTAATTTATACAAGGTTCCGCCCTAAATAAGAGCGAAGCAAAAAAACTCAGCTTGCTTCAAGTGAAATTAAGTGTTGAGGCGACTTTTCCATTAAATTTAATTTTAAAGCTTTTTTTCTAGATTTGAATGTGCTTCGTGCAATGATTTGGTTATTTACTCAATTTTTAATTAATACAAGGTTCCTGTCCAATAATATAATCTTTATAATCTTAAAAAAGCTACACTCAAATCATAAGTACGCAGATTTACCTATTCAACAACATTTTATGCAGTTTGACACCTTCTATTTTATTTATTATTTATATGACACAAATATGGAACCTCCATACAGATCTTTAGTAATAAGTAGATTGAAGTTAAAAATTTTAACCAATTTTCTGATTCTCAAATGAATTTGTTATCATAATAAAAATGAAATTATTGAAAACATTTCTTCTAATCTGTGAAGGAAGTGATATTGACGACGTTTCTTATAACATAGACTTAAATGCCCTGTAGCAAAAGCAGATCAAGTGGAGCGCTGATTCAATGGAAATTTCCAGTCTCGTAATCATTGCACGTTAATTGATCCCCTGTACTGCAGCAAAGCGTGCTATAGCTAAACTCTCGATCACTACGTTTGTATTGCAAACTGCTGGCTGGTAGTTGATTTGCCTCTCGCGAGCTCCTGTGTGTGTGTCTTTACAAGTGCACATTCGCTCGAATGAATTTCATTACGTCGCTTGCATTATTGCCACGGAATATATCCTTTGGCGCTGCGAAACTGCCGCTGCAGCTTATAAGATGGATTTCCGCGTGCGATCTGAATGGGCTGCTCATCACGCTTCAAAGTTTATCGGATTCAATTTAGCAAAATATTCTGCGCCATCCCAGTGAAGCAGACAATTTTGAGAAGCCAGTGCTGCTTTTCATTTCAATCTTGATAACGTCAAGCATAAACTCTATTATTGTGAGTTGGATGTAAAAACTAATAATCTTGTAGTTATCAACACTGATATTATAATATGCATGACGCCAATATTAAATCTGCTATACATCTGCCTTATAATTTTTCTATAAATTTATTCAAATTTTGGTTGTTCAATTTAAATTTTCCACAATTTGCAAGTTTTCATTTGAGCTGATCAATCGCTACCTAGACGGTTTATTAAAAAAAGAATTAAAAAACTAATCAAATTGTATATAAATGTGCTCTTTGGGTAATTAATTATTGCAATTTTATCGATTTTGTAGTTGGCAATTCAACAAAAACAAGACAAGAGACGTTAAAATATTATTTTATAAAACCAATTTTATTGCAGTAAATACAATCTTCAGAGAAAAATAATTCTGTGTCATGAAATTTAAATTTTAAATCATGTTGAAAAAGCTCAGACATTGACAAATGCCTGCAATTACTCCCAACTCTGCCTGTTGTAGCGATTTCTAATGCTCATTTTCCTATTTTTTTAACTTACCAGTCAGAAACGGAGCTTTTTTCATTTCAATTTTCTAATATGTATGGTTTCTATCTTTATTTAAATTATTATTGTTGTTGTTTATTTTTCCACATTGTTACAAATACATTGTTTATATTCAATTTTTTGAAAAACAAATGTGGATATAAATTTTAAATTTTATGAATACCACATCTTGCCCCATACAAATTAAACAAATTAAAAAATTTGAAAAATTTGAACTTCAAAAAAAATTAAGATGGAAAAGAAATTTAAATTTTTTTTTAATAGTTCATTTATCACATTGATTAAAGAAAATTAGTTTTAATTTTTCGCAGCTCATAAGACACTCTTATCACGAAACGATCACTTTATTTTCTAATAAAATTTGCTCGTATTTTTGCAGAATCGCGTCGGACGGATCCTCCCCGAGAATCACGTGGGCCCCGCGTGATTGGCAGGTGCGAGCGGCCGTGTCGGAGGTCGCGGGGTCTCTGGGTCTGTGGGTGGCCCTTGCGTGTTGCCGCGGCGGCCGCGAGGGATCCCGCCCTCCGCGGCATGCGCCGCTGGAGGCTCGCAGGGGCGCATGACTCGGCGGCCGACGACGGTGGTGTCGCGGGCGCTGCGCTCACTCGCGCTTCGGCTGCTGCGATCGATCGAGTCAGTTGGACTGCGAGGCCCGCCGACGAAGCCTCAGACAGAGACGCGCGGCACCGCTCCTCGACACGTGTGCAGTTATTATGACCTTTGGCCCCTGACGCAGCCATGGACGCGCTCACGCTCACCAGCTGCGCCCTCGCCTTCGCCCTCTACTACAACACGCTCGACGCCGGCTTCGTCTACGATGACAGGTAGGAGAAACTTAATTTTTATTATTAATCAAAAATTCACCAAAAATGCTGAAACTTATTTAAATTAAAATCATAATTTTGCATTAGGAAAGTTTAAGTAATTCAATTCTGGTTTCGCGGAATTTTAAATTCCATTTTATATGTGTTTTAATTCTAAATTTTTGAATGCATACTTAAAATTAAAAAAAAAAATAATATTTATAATAATTCAATTCTGCTTATTTAAAAGAGCAAAATTAAGTATAATCTGGCCCTGTAACTATTGGGAATTGAAACAAAATTTATCAAGATTGGAATCAAATTTTGAAATACTTTCAACTTTATATTCAGAAGAAATCTCCAAATCCGAAAGAATTTCATAAATCATCCTGCATGAATCTTTCTCTTAAGAAAAAAAACTGAAATTAAGTTGATCTCTGAATCGTTTCTTTTCTCAAAGTTTATAATTCTCTTTGAACTAATTCCTGCGTCACTTTCGACAAAGTTTCACCAACTACCTTCCTCCACTGAAACAGTACAAGTTCACCACGCAGCAACAATAATCAAAGGGCCTTTATTGTTAAACCCGCGACCACTCTATTCATAGCCTGCGAAATTCCAAAGTTTCAAACTTGGCGTTAGTTCCTAGGGTTCGAAGAAATTGGGACAAGTGTATATACCAGTATTATTAGTTGCGATTATTTCATTACGCTTATTCGCCAGACCGGTGGTTTCTTAGCAACGTGGCAAAGAAGCCGGTCGGTCGGTCTCTCTGTTGCTCGCGGCGGCGGTGGCGGCGGCGGCAGTTTGTTCGTTCCTCCTGTTGCTCGCCCGCCGTCGGCCTGCCCGTCACAAAAATGAGAGCACGCACTTGTTTGTTGGCGCACGCGGAAATTTTCCAGCACGAGATTCGGGCGTATCTGATCGTCTGGAAAAACAAACACAGGCCAGAAATAGCAATTCTGCCTGACGAGTGTTGTTTTTCTCTCTTTCTGCAGGCAAAAGGGAAAATATTTCACTTAAATAAGAGACTTGCATCATCAAATCTGAACCTCTTTTAATGCTACTTCTCTGCGTTCTAATTGTGCACGAAAGCTGGATTTTGAAATGATCAGGAAGGTCAATCAATATTTTGAAGTTTCAGATGTAAGAGAAAATTTGAATTCTGAAAAAAAGCACATAAGGAGCATATTTAATTAGAAAATAAATTTAAAAGATCGACTGCATTTAATTTGCAACAAAATTTAATTAAATGAGGTTTTTTTTTACTAGAAAAATTTCAAATATATTGAAGTTGAAATAATTACAACAAAATTTCATGCCTTTTGAGAGAAAAAAAAAAATAGATTTTCCACCCTACTTTCCTCAAAAACTGGTGTTTCAAATTTTTTTTTGCATAAAAAATCTCCCATCGAATATGGATTTTTGTAAAGAAAATTTTAAATTCTGTAGTAATTTTCTTGTATTAGTTTTGGATTTTTTCCCGCTATTCTGATATTCCAAAATTTAAACGTTGAAATTAGGTGGTTTAAAAATATAAATTTTTTTAAACTGACAGACCTCTAATTAATTGTTATGTTTTTTGTCTGTATTTTGGTCCATCCGTAAATACGAGACCTCGTTAAATTCATCCCCCGTCGCGAGCGCGGTTTTTGTGTACTTGTTTCCAAACTTCCGACAAGTATGTGCGGCCGGGTCGAATTATTAATTCTGGCACCCAACAACAATGGCTGTTTTTGCGCTGCCGAAACTTAGTCATGGTTGATCGCGGCCCATAATTCACGCGGGAATTAATAAGGCGAGTTTAAACAACGTCATGCCGGCGTTCGCCCCAACAATGGCCGCCGCCGACTCAATAAATTATAATCCGCCCATCTCGCCCGAATAATGAGCCTCTTGTAGCGGCGACGGCTAATAATATAGTAATACACCGTTCGTTCGCTCCAGCAAAGATTATAACGTAAGCTCGTCGATGAGGAAAACGCGGTGTGTGTGTCGCGGTTTTTGTTGCTTTGCCTCCTTTGCGCCGCCACTCAATCGATACTCCATCGGACGAGGTTCAATTTGAATCTCCAGTCTGAAGAACCCTCCTTTAGCACCGCAGATTGCTAGATCATTATTATTAACCTCCTAAAATTTGAAGAATAAATAGATTATATAAAAATATTTAAAAAAGTTCTCTTATTAATTTCAAAGCATTCAAAAATTTTGATTTTTATAAAGTTCAATTTTGGAAAGAAATTCACTATGGGTGATGAATGAAACAATAGAAAAACGTTTTTGTTTTAAATTATTAGAAAATAAAATACAATTTGAAAATAATCAAATATTATAAATAACTAATTTTGCTTATAGCTAAAAATAATATTCGTGTAAAAATTAACCTTGCTTTTTAAATTCATGCGAGTTTTTCCGCCATTTAATGAATATTACATTTTGCAATTAAGCTCGGTATATTCTGTATACAATGAATATGCATGGCTGCAGGCTGATTAACATGCGCTGCAAGCGAGCCAGGCCACGCATTTCACCACGAAAAACCTAGCTGTGGCGAATTGTTCTGGGAAAAAGTGCGCGGCGGCTTTCAAAAGAAGCCCTGGCAGCGTGCAATCTAGATTTTACGACCGGTATATGAATTGCAAATTACCACTCGCGGCAATTATTGCGAATGCAAAAATCTACAGAGTCGGGCGTATTTGATGTTTATATTTATTTGCGAACGCGTGTTGCGCCCCTCAGATTTGGGTAAACGGGCAAAGTACACAATTCGCAAAATAAAACAAATACTTCCTCTGTTCACCGGCAGTAAATTAACCCGACTTTCGGATATTGTTTTCGGACGCTAATGTAATTACCAGAGCAGGTTTTATTTTGATTTGTGTGTGTTCCATTTTCCTCCCAATTTGCTGTGCAAATTTTAGTCACTCAAATTGTTGCTACCTTGTTTGCTGCCACTGAATCAAATTAAGAATTTATTTTTTAAATACGGAACAACCTTGATTTTATCAGAAGATATTATTACATTTTAATATTAAATTTAATATTGAAAGTCTGAAGAGTTTCATTTTCAAATATATTATTTTGTCGTTTAACATAATATTAAAAATCAGCCTAGTTTCTAAATCATTAAGAATTTAGCTAATTTTTTCACTTTTCATTATTTTTATTTTAGTTGGAATAAATGATATTTTTTTTATCATAAATGTCAATGATTTCTTCTAATTCTTGTAAGTTTCGGTTTTTATGACACATAAAAATATAATCTATTATTTTAATTTTATAAATATTTAATTATATTAAACTGGGAACATTCAAAGATGGTTAATGGAAGCATCAAAGTTAAAGCTTCGTAATATTTAAAACACATCAATTTTTCGCTCTTTAAAGCCATTATAAAAAGGGCTCTTTTTGAAACTGAAAAAAATGGTGCCGCTGAATATGCAAATGAGAGGAGGAATGGCGTCGATCGGCATTCGCAGTCATTTCGCGCACCAGCGAGCATTGGAGAGGCGGTGCACGACCAATAAATTCATAAACTCAAAAATGGTCGCGACAGCTGCTTTGAAAAAGCGCAAAACAGATCGGAACAGTGTGACGTGCCGTTCAATTAGCGAAACGCATGAAAAATGGCGTGGCTGCCACTTTTTGACGCAACACCAAAAATGAGATGTCGAACGGACGGTGTTGCGCGTCGATTTGCATATGTGCCCTCTTCAATTATTCGCCGGCAGGGCGCGTCAATTAAACAAAATGAAAAGCCATAAACACCGCACGACGCATACACAACCAGCTAATTAGCATCGTCGCCCTCCAGACTAAACACGCCGACTTGGGGGGATGAATATTCAAATAAGGCCGCGCGTCTCTTTGTGTGCGATCGCAAGCAAACTTTGCCGACGCTGCAGCTCCGCCTCTTGGCTGGCGAGCGGCGGCGAAATTGGCCGGAAGAGGCTCTCGGCTCGCGCGGATTAGCATTTTCAATTAGAGCCGAAACAATCGACTTCGCCGTTAAACGTTAATGTACCAAAAGTAATCGGTCGAAATCTTTGAAATAATTTTCAAGAGCCCTGCCTCGACGGCAAAGAATTCCTTGCGAAACTACTTGAATTAAAAAAAAAGTAGGCAACTTGCACTACAGAAATGCTGAAACGGTTGCCTACGTTATTTTTCTTCAAAATTAAAAAAGTTGGATAAATAATTTGGAGACGATTAAATTTTCTGAAAATTTTATCGAGATGCAAATGATTTATAAAATGCTTCTTGGGATGTTTATATTTATTTAATTAATTTTTACATTATTTCGGGATGTTAAAAAAATTAAAAATAATTTGATTTAAATGCATTTAAGGTAAAATAATGAAAACTGTTCATTTTCGATTGTCTCTGTGCTAAATTAAAAGTAGATTGTAACCAAATTTTGGAAAATAGAATTTAGCCACAAGTCTCTCGCCCTTTCCAACAAGCAGCCTATTGCGTTCGCTTCTGCTTAGTTATGCATGCTAATGGGGCGTCCAATGTTTTCCGCTCGCAAATTAATATCACGCGCCTGTGGATAGAAAAACACATGCATACAACCAGACTTGTTTTTGCCGAGTTGCGAAACATGCAAGCCGACACCTCTCACGCCAACTTATTCATTTATTTACACGATACGCCGCTAATTTGAATATTTTGCTATTCGAATATTCAAGCCTGCTCGCAATCTGGGCGAAGATCGCTGCTGTTTATAGCTAGTTAGAGTTGCGAAATTCCGTAATATGGTAATTCAAGCTGATTTGGTCAGGAAATAACAAGAGAAAGTTTTGATTGGAGAAAAATTTAATATTTAAATTAATGAAAAGGTTTGACAATTTTTCAAAAATACTAACAATAAGATCAGATTTCTGCAATAATGTAGTAATTTTTTTTAATTGATGAGTTAATATTTTTTTTGCAACTCTTTATTAATTTTTACATTTATTACATTTAAATAAATTAATTTAAAAAAATACTGGTTGAAAATTTCAAAATAATATTCTGGA